TGCAACATGTGTTCTTATAGCACGATTTACAGTATTTACTATATCAATGATATGTAATAAAGAAATTAAGTTTAAAATAAAAATATTTTAGAATTAGTTCTTAAAAACATTGTCTCTAGTAATAAATAATTGGCCTTTAAATGTAATGCATACATTTCTATGCAAAAAAATGGAATTATACTATATATTTTTTATGTGATAATATTTAATTCTATATAACAAATTATCCAAGTAATCAGTAATTTTTCCATGTATTTATTGCGCTACAAATCTAAAGCTTATATGAACTGTGAAAAGTAATTGCTCTTCACAAAAATTCTTACGAGATCAATTGCATATATGCATTTGATTTTTGGAAAATATTGTATATAATGTTCTTATTAGTAAAACCATTACTGATACAGAAACTAATCAATCAAAATGTAACCCTGAATATATAATGATCCAAGTGACCTATGGAAAAAAATTTTATTATAAACTTAGAAGATAAGGACACTAAAATAAATAATATTGGATAACTTTGAATTACCAAAAAACCAGCAAATGATGTCATGAAACCTTCTTTGATTAATTCCCATATACCACCAAATTCTTCCTCATCAATTTGTTGAAAATTGCTAAAATACAGATACGTGACACCTGCGTTAACTAATACAAATCTGAAACATCGAATCACAAACTTAAAATATAATTATAATTTCGCGATTTTATGTATTTTACAGTAGTATTATATTTTAACTTACAATAATAGAGCTATGAAACCTTTTAAAGGTATAAGACCCCATCCTATACCAACTATAATACCAATTGCTTGTTTGGCCCAGTATATAACATCAAGAAATTCTTCCTATAATAAATCATCGAAACTTACGAGTGATATCATAGGAAAAAAATAGAGAGCATACTTAAGTGAAATATGGTTATGTTTACTTTATCTGGCCATTCGGAGTTCGCTGTTATTGCACGTGTCCATACACTCAGTTCGCATTTACCACCATTTCCAATCTTTTCAGATTTTGAACGTGACATTTCTACACCTTCTCAACTTAATAATATAAAACATGTAAAAAAGCTCATTAACATCTCCTATGTAGAATAGATTCCATACACTTTATTTGCTTAAACCTTTCGCTGCTATACTTCCATTTCTTGGGTTATGGAAATGTGCCAGAGTGCTAGATACAATTTCTCACGCACGCGCACTAATTCTGTTGTATTTGACATGTTTTATATTTTTCGACTTAATAAATACATACTATGTATGCCATATTTTAATAACTCGGTATTCAATATTCTAAAAACGTTACGAGTAACGATACATTTATAAAATACATTATTGATTCAACTTTATTAATATATATATTTTATATATTCAATTTAAATTTTAATAGTGTAGACTATAAAAGTGTAGACTATATTCAATTTGAATTTTAATATTATATTGCTATAAAATTATTTCAGTAAGATATCGTATGTCGATGTTGTTTTTGATTTTATTATAAAAATCTCTTTCCAACCTTTGCAAATCTTTTCAATCTTTCCATTTTGACAACAAAGTCTGGTTTGAAGTACACAAAATTACTAATGTATAAAATAAAAAAAATACTGGACACTGCATATGTAATAGTTTTTATTTACTAGTAAATTATATTGCATGATTAATAGGCAACGTATCGAAATCTGCAAATACTGATATTTATTGGATGATAATACATATATATAATAAAATTAATAGCAGATTTTAAAACGTGCTTCATTGCAACATATGTATACGTACATATGTAAATATAAATACGGGAATGTAATAAAGAAAGAATGCCTATAGGTGCTGTCTGATTTTCTCTGCGCGTGATTAATCGCGTGATTATATCACTCATTCATTAATACATACATACCGTAATTATATTTAATATATTTACACACTAAAGTATGATTTATTACAGGTGATCTTTGGTAATATGCAAAGTGACAACTAATACAATGTAAAACAATTACGTTTTGAACTTCAAAGAGGGAGTAAAACAAATTGAACAAATTTTAATAATTATACATACAAAATGATTTCATTTTTGGCACAGTTATTTAAATTTTAAATCTTACGTTACATTCGTATAGAACCCAATGTAATATTTTTCTGTCATAAATATACAATTAATTTATATGTACTTTATGCCTTAAAAATCACCTGCAATGCAATGTGTATACAAATTGTTAATTAGTTTGCACTTATACAAAACTACAAGTACATACGTACATGTTTACAAATATTATATTTATTATATTTATTATGGAAATACTTAAATTACAATTCTGTCGGCGAATAGCAAATAATTAAGTAACATTATGATTAGCTACCATTCAAGATACTGATTTGTTTACATTATTTGAAAATCTCTTATACTGACTTAACAAAATATATAATTTGACGAATTATAAATTCAATCTGCATCGCGCTAGATTTAAAATAAATAATCGTCTAATAAAAAGAAAGGCTTTAATTTTATGATTTGGTGTTCAATCTATGTAATATTTATGATTTTAAATGTAAAGATGAATGTTGAATGTGTTTGTTAAAATATGACAATCACATTTCACAAATGGTTTAATTATTATATTTAAAAAGAATATTTTCAATTTACCATCTAATATTGTTATATGACATATGTTGCTAAATACCTGTATCCAAAAGGATTTACATATTTCGTTAGTCACAGTTATTAATACATAAACCCAATATCAAATAGATGTTCAAATATTTATTTATCTATAAGAACTGCAACTGTAATAATGACTAATTTATCTATGTGTAACTTTTTTTACACGTATATGTACAGAAGTTGTTTACTATTCAAAAACTAGTTTTTAATATACTTATATAAATTGAATTTTATGTTATGTGCTCGTATTTTGCAATATATTTTTATATAGTATAAAAAAATTGTTTGTAAAAAAGCTGCTTCTTTATAGGAAAATGCACATAGCAGAAAGACTTTACTAAATTATTCTTAATTATAATACATCTTTAACAAGGTATAAAATAGCAAGTACAACTTACAAATATCGCAAAAAAATTCTTGAAATATAATAATAGCCTGCAATATCTTTTTTTTAATTAATTTAATTGAAAGTTTAGTTTAGTTTTTTTTTTATTTGCGTATCATATATGTTATGTATGCATTATATAATGTTTATGTACTTTGTTACTAATTTTTTTTTTAAATCAATGATAAGTCATTGATAATATCTTTTATATAAAAATCTTTCAACTTTGTTCTTGTTACATGGAAAACAAAGCATTTATTATTTTATGTTATGTTATATGGCACACTTCATACATTTTATGATTCTTGGTATTTGTTTTGTGCACTTATCAATTCCAATTGTATTTAAGATGTTAAATAAAATGTAACATAATTTAATAAAAATTGTATGAAAACAAATATTATAAACAATAATCAATTCAATCTAAATAGATTCATATCTTTTAGTAATCACAGGTCTGTTACAACTGGTTGAGAAACAAATCAAAATAACTATTATGAAATTACAAAAATTAATTTCGGAAGACATCCCGACTCTGATTAAATAATAGCAAGAAATATTGTTTAATGTTGCTAAAAATACATTGTGTTTTTTGGTAACAGATTAGCATACATTTAAATTAATTAAAATCATATAGTTTATGACTTATCTTAGATTCTATCAGTTTAAATATACAGATAAACAATATATAAATATTTAAATGTTAAAACAAACATAACATGGTCTATCTTCCAAATAATATCATTGACAATATCAAACAGACCTCTTTTTAAAAATCTGGAGGAATGTAGAAGCATTTAATGCATTTTTCATGGAAGTAAGTGTTTTAACTTATTGCATTGAAAATATTAAATGATTTTAGTGTATTAAATACAAATACTTATTCCTAAATTAAGATAAACTGCATTAAAATTACAGTTTCATAAAAAACTATAAAATTTTTAATGCCACCTTAATAATAAATTGGTATTTTCTATAGAAACCCCCAGTACCCTGTCCCTAAATATTGTGTTAGCACTTGCTTTTCATTTGACTTTATATGGCACAAATACAAACGTGTCAAATTGTATATTTTTGTACCCAATATAAAATATCTTGATGACACAATATAAAATATTTTGATGAAAGATATCTTAATAAATATCCAGTCATTGACATTAATTCATAAATTATTACTGCATTAGGTCATGATCAAACATCAACTACGTCGTTATTGTAATTGAAATTTGAATCACGTAAAAATGAAGTACGTCGGAGTTTAAAACTTATACGATTTTCTTCAACCGTTTTCGGCACTTCCGTTACCTAAAAATATAACAATTATATATATATAGAATTATCTCACTCAAAATAATACTTCAAGGTATCTTTATAATATTTTAAAAATGTCTTTGTGTAATGCTAAGACACAGAAACTGTTTTAAAAGAAAATAAAAATAGAAATTTACATTAATGGATTTCAAGCACAAAACAATTCTTTCAAGCTAATGACAAAAAGACTTAGGACTGCATTCTTATTAAAAATTATATTAAGTGATTTAAAAAAGAAAAAAAAAAAGAAAAAAAAAGCGGACGTTACATAAGGTACCTTGACATCTGGTTGGTTGATAGAACGTTGAAGCACCGACCTCCATGCTGCAGGTGCGGTATGCTCTAAAATAATATATACAGCAAGGCTTCTTAATTAAAGGGTTCAACATGCATATTTACAACATATACTTGGAATTAACCAGGAATTGATATTTAATTAAAAACTATGCGTGAATCGTGAATGACGTCTATGATGTTACTATATACAACGACATGCAATAGAAAAATATATTTTTGGCTCTTACCATTCTCTTTCCTTTCCGTTTTACTTTTGTTTAAACTAGCTGCCAGTTCCCTGACTGATCTTTTTTCTACGCTTGCGTTGCTTAAGGAACTAGCAGTACTACTTGCTGATAACGTTGGCGGTAAGGAAGCAGGACCACTTACACCACTATCTGTTGATTCATCAAGTGCATCTCCAGAATCAGGTGTATTTCCAGCTGAAGTATTTGGGCTAGAACCATCGCTTAATAAATTAAATTCTCCTAAAACATTAAATATGTAATATAAATATGTAATATAACGTAAGCCAAGATTTCATTGTTAAATAATTTGATTCTTTTCCCATACCAGATTTTCTATCAGTAGCCATGCTCCAAGGTCTCGGTTTCGGAGCTGTTACAGGAGGAACAGGTTTAGTTTTGGAAAGAGCACCATTATTTTTACCATCTGTAATTGAACTATTTCCTTTGGTTAAAGACCTTAATACTGGAGATTTCGATGCTTCCGAATTAGTTTTTGTACTGCTACCGTTTGTTGGACTACGAAGATCAAAACCTGTCGATCTTAATTTAAGAGAAGGCAAAGATTGATTTGTAGTCTTATCTGTATCTACCGCAGATTTTTTAGTTAAACTTTTTTTGTTTTCGTAATCTTTAGAAACAGTCACTATATCTTTATCTGAAGAATTTGTAACAGTTTGCTGGTGTAAAATTTTATTATTTTCATCCGAATCTCGCAAACTGCGTGTACTTGTACCAGAACTAATAATAGGTAGTGTACTACGTTTCGATGTATCAGCAGTATTACTGATACAATTATTGCATACGTTGTTACTTGTATCTTTACTATTATCAGATTTTGTAACACTTCTCTCATGATTTTGTGCATTGTCTGTTGTATTTCGTCGAGTTAATGGAGATGCAGTTAACGGTGAATCACCTTGAGACCTTCTGCCAACAAGAGGGGAAAATTTTTCTAAATTATCACTGGAGCGTGATCGCGGTGCAGGCTCAAGAAGTGTTTTTAACATTGGTGAACTACAACCAGGTTTTTTATCCGTCTCAGGTGGAATACTTTTGTGACTTGTAAGAGATAAATTTGGACTACCATCAGTTGGAAAAGTATGCAAGGAGCTACAGCAAAATAAAGGTAAATTAATTTAATTTAACATAATTTCT